GTGCATTACAGTGGCTTCCAAACTAGACTCTGCTCACTCCAAGGAAGTCTGTGAAGGTCCTGTAGCTTGTTGCCAGTGGGAAGGGAGAACCCCAAATACAGAGTCCTCTCCTTTCCATCCCATTCACCCTCCTCTGCTTCAACCAAGCATTGCTGCTGCTCTCTAGTTTGATAATACTTATTTCCCTCAACCAAAAGAGATAGATATAGAGATAAAATAAAAATAGAAATAGAGATGTGTGTGTGTGTGTGTGTGTGAGAGAGAGAGAGAGACAGAGAGAGAGAGAGAGAGACAGAGAGAGAAACCACCAGTTATGTAATGAATACTAACTTTGGAATCAGTCTACCTAGGTTTCAGCCCAGTGATATATATAATAATATACTTCTTATTAGGTGACACGAGCAAGGAATTTTTAAATTATTCTGAGCTTTAGTTTTCTCAACTTACATACTCAAAGGTACTCAGAGATTTTTGTTAAACAAATAAGTGAATGAAGGAAAGAATAAATAAATAAATAATTTTATATTTTGGCAAAAGTAACCTCCCAGTGTTGTAGTGAGGATTAATGCTAATACAGAGAGAGTCAAGTACAGCCTGGTACACAATATGTGTTTTACAAATAATGACAATAGCTATTATTATCATTATTATTGATTCAGTGTTTCTTATATTGACATACAGGTGCCCATGTGACACTTCCTCTTTAAGTTAGTCAGAGATCCGTCATTAAACTTGAGAGCAAAGCTTATATGCTGTTAAATATTTAGAAAATGTCTGAGTTCAAAGGGGCTTTTCCATCACAAGAAAAGATTATGGGAATCTCAGAAGTTTCTTTGTTCTCCACTCTTGGGAGTGAAGCTTGGGAAGTTTAGTGGCCAAAAAAAATGGTGGTAACAATAGTGCCGTCTGGAAGAAGCCTTGCCCTGGAGCCAGAAGTGCCCAAATCATAGGGCAACTCAGTGGGATCACTTCCTACGTACCCAAGAGGTACACATGTTTGCTATTACCACTATTCCTTGGGTTTGAATCACACTGCCCAGTTTAGTCTACCTATTTAGCACCACATTTGTTCTCTGGGTAAGAACAAATTATGAACCTACAGCTTATTCTTCTTGAAAGAGAAAGAAAAAAAAATGTTCTGGGCTTATAACATGAAAATTGATGTCTTTAATCTATCTAAATTATTTTCAGTTAAATACCATTGCCTTGTGAATCATATTCATCTGCTGTAGATTGCAAAACTTTGCCAGGTTAAGACCTTGTCTTTTCATAGGTTATGCAAAATGGTGCAGACACTTTTAACACTCCTGATGTGACAGACGGCATCATTTGTAACAAAAGAATAACAATGGCAGCCTCTTGACATGTCTTAGAAGCTTAGTGAGCAAGAGGAATCCCCTTATATACGTATTGTAATCCCGTGACAACATATTGTAATGTTATGTTCCCCACAGGGAAAATCCAATAGCTCATTCCTCCAAATCTAGAAAACAGACCATCGAGAGTTAATTCTAATCATGTAAAGATTCTTTGCTTTACAATGACTTTTTTTTTTAATTTATATTTTTTTGTTAAAGTGTCTCTTTAAATAGCCAAATATTTTTTTTTTGAGTATTCAAAATTGGATTTGCTTTTCGAAATGTTGATTAGCCTCAACATTTCAGGAGCAAAGAGAGTGAGCAAAAATGGGGTATTGCCTGTTAGTTGCCAATGGTAAAGTCTCACGTAGTGGTCACAGTGAAAAACAAAAACAAAACAAAACAAGGCTTACCACTCTATCTCCTGAGCCCACCAAAGTCAGAATGTTCAAATGTGGCAAGGGGCTCTTACAGGCACCAGATGCCTTCATGCCAAGCAATGCTATGCTAGCATTGGGGTCATTGGCCATCAGCAACTGTGTGACTCTAACAGCCAAGGACGTCAATCCATCTTCTGAAGCAATCATGCATTATTCAGCATGCACTGAACTATTAGCTTATATAGTAATACTTTCCTTTATTGAGATAATTATGACTATGAAGCTAATGACTTTTATTCAAATAAATGAAAACAATTTGGGGGATACATGATGTATTTCTTCTGCCATATATAAGTCATGGGCAAGGAGAGGAAAATAATTTGAAGTAGGACAGGAAAGGAACACTGATTCAGAAGAAAGGACTTCCCCCACCCCCAGATTATAGACAGACAACACTTTTATCCTCATGTCAGATCCTTTTTCTTTACAAGTACAGAAAATACATGCAGGTAAGTGAGCATCGGTCATTCCCATTAGCTCTCATTTCTGATGCATAGAAGGAAAAAGCAGCAATGTACACTTGCATCATTCAATTTAGCAAGTAAGTATGGTACAGGTACTGTGCTAGATTTACAGGTAGGAAGAAAACAAGACAAGGAGGGAAGAAGAAAATACGCCTTTAATGAGACACCCGAGTGCCTTCAAAAACCATACAATGACTTTAGGTACTACTCCTAGCTGTCATCTCCAATAGAAAAATGAGCACACTCCATTTCAAAGCTGGCTACTGTGACCAAATGCACTATTCGTATTTTTCCAAGGTCCCTAAACCAACAGTTGACTAGACTGCCCAGATTGAAGGAGGCTGTTGAAAAACCCTTCTGGAAGTTCTATCCATTGTGCTGAAAGGCTATTCTCACTACTACAGCAAATGCACCGAGCAGATTAATAAGAATTAGGGCCACCGAAGGAGCACTTTGTGAGAGGCACAATACTCAGAATTTTCGCAGGGCAGTTCATTCCTGCACTCTTCTGAGTAGTTACGTCTTCCTGCCTCGTACACCTTTGTATGCTTTGTGTGCTGATGAATGTCTGTAGATTGTCACACTAGAAGGGGTGTTTCATACAGTGAGTGGGTCTTGGGCCTGGAGATGAGTACGTGAAGGAGGAGAGGAGGATCATGGGTCCGGTGGTGTGAAAGATAAGTTGGAGACTCCAGTGGAGGAAAATGGTTCATTAGGATTGTTTGATTGATTCAGGCTTGTGTTTTGGGTTCTGTCACACTTCAGTTGAGAAATGTCCCCGTTGTTTCTCTAATACAAGCAGTTTATATTCAGAACCAGGGCAGCACAGAGAGGAATTGGAGGTTGGGGCCCCTCATCTACCACCGGGGAGAAAGTCTGATCTGCGCACCGAGGGGAAGTGGTTCTCTAGGGTGTACAAATGTGATCCTGGGGCCGTTTGCGAAAAGGTTGAGGGAGAGGAATCCGACAGCTGGAGAACTGAAGCTTCAACCCTTCCTAGGCAAGGGAGTGGGGAAGGTGGGTTGTTCTCAGGGTGGGGGTGGGGGCTGCTCCTCCCAGCCCCTGGGCAGGAGAAGGGCAGAGAACCGGGAGGTGTGTGTCAGAGGCTCACTCTGCCTGGACAAGGTGTTGGGGTATGAGGGTGGGTGGGGGCCTGAGGGGTGGCTTGGAGCCCTGGCGGTGGCTGCCTGACGTCACCGGCCTCTCTGGCAATAGGCTGCGAGCTCAGCTCCCTGAAGCGGTGGCGAAGGCGGCGGCGACGGCGGCAACGCGGCTCCGTCTCTGGCCCATTCACTCCGCGCCTCCTGCAGCCGCCACTGCAGCCGCGTGGCGGGGGCTCCCTCCCTGCAGCCAGCCGGCGGCCCCAGGTAAGAGACACGGTGCGGCAAAGGCTTCGGATGGCTGGGTGACTCGGCTGCCGGGCGCCAGAGGGGAAGACAGCTCACGCGGCCTGCGCAGGCACCCCCAGCGGTCGCTTCTGCCCCACCCCTGCCCCTGTCCCTGCCCCTGCCCCTGCCCTTGCTCCGGCCCGGGCCCCGGCTCCGGCTCGCTTGCGCGCTGCCTCGCTACTCCGCAGTGCAACAGTTTGCAGCTGCCTCTTGGGAGCGGCAAAAAGGCTCTGCTGAGCGTTGCGGGTCTATCCGGCTCTGGTCGGGGGAATAGCCTTGGGGCCCTTTTGGGCTAGGGCTAGGAAGGCCGGAGATCAGGTCTATTCCCCAAACTTTGCAGGCGGAAACCCTCCCCACCCCCACGCCAGTTCTAGCTCCTCTGGAAAGAAGCAGGATCCAGTTAAGTTGGGGGCACTGGGAGATGAGGAGGAAGGGGGCGTTTGCAGGAATGTGTCAGCTCAGAAAGGTGCTTCAGCTGCTTTTTCGGGGTGGGGGTGCCAGAGAAGAAGCTGGAGAAAGGATAGGGGGCGCGATCCTGCGCCTTAGCGGCAGCCCCTGACAAAGGCAGAATGGGATGTGGTGCCAGGGGTATCCCCCGGGGACCTAAGGGTTCTGACGCCGTCTGGGGTGGGAGAGTCTTGGGGCAAGGGAGGGGAGGACTGCGTACCCGGAGCCCTCTTTGCGGCCCGGAGTGGGTGTTGGGGAGGGTAGGATCCAGGCGAAGACATCCACGGAGAGGGCGCAGGAAAGAGTCGGCGCTCTGGGGAGCAGGGACTGTGATGCGAGGCGGCTGCGTGTCTGTTGCAATAATTAGAAAGTTGTGAAGGGCGCGGGGAGGCTGCCTTATCTGCTGAGTAATCTGCACTTCCGCGGTGCCGGCGCAGACCCCTTCCTGGCAAGTGGCGCGAGCGGCAGCTGGTGGCTCTGGTTCGCGGCCAGGGGCGGGCGGGCTGGATTCCGCCCGCGGAGGAGAAGACTGGACAGCGCCCAGCCGAGGCAGCGCGCCCAGAGGGCCGCTTTGCGGTGGTGGCTGATCCTCCCCGACCTCCGCACTCCCTGGAGCGGCGGCCGGGAGCCTAACCAAGCCTGTTCTCTTTGCAGCCTGGTGCCTCGGCGGAGGAGAAGGGCGCGCGGAGACGTGTTCGAGTCGGGACCGGAGAGGACCTGCCGGCGCCGCTCGCTCCTGGCCGGCTCGCTCGCCGGCACTTGCTCCTTCAGTCCTTGGCTCGCGCGCACGCCCCCTCCCGCGCCCCGGAGTAGTTTTGGGTGGCGCCCGGAGGCTCCGTCCTCTTTTTGGCTGGTGGGAACAGCGTGCCCAGAAGGGGAAGCCTAGTGGGCCCGGCCCCTCTGAGCCCAGTGCCGATGAGTGCCCGGGCGCCAAAGGAGCTGAGGCTGGCGCTGCCGCCGTGTCTCCTCAACCGGACCTTTGCTTCCCCCAACGCCAGCGGCAGCGGCACCGCGAATGCCCGCGACTCGGGTGCGGGAGGCGGCGGCGGCGGCACCTGCATCACGCAGGTGGGACAGCAGCTCTTCCAGTCCTTCTCCTCCACGCTGGTGCTGATTGTCCTGGTCACCCTCATCTTCTGCCTCATCGTGCTGTCCCTCTCCACCTTCCACATCCACAAGCGTAGGATGAAGAAGCGGAAGATGCAGAGGGCGCAGGAGGAATACGAGCGGGATCACTGCAGCGGCAGCCGCGCTGGCGGGGGGCTGCCCCGGCCAGGCAGGCAGGCCCCAAACCACGCGAAAGAAACCCGGCTGGAGAGGCAGCCCCGGGACTCTGCCTTTTGCGCCCCCTCCAACGCCTCCTCCTCCTCCTCGTCGTCGTCCTCTTCCTCTTCGTCCCCTGGCCTGCCGTGCCAGGGCCCCTGTGCTCCTCCGCCTCCACCGCCAGCCTCCAGTCCACAAGGAGCACACGCAGCCTCCTCCTGTTTGGACACAGCTGGCGAGGGCCTTTTGCAAACGGTGGTACTGTCCTGATTATCTAAGCCCCACTCTTCTCCCCTTCCTCATTTCCAGCATCTTTGCCATCCTTGCTTTTTCCCTCCTTCTTCCCTTTTCCGTTTTCCTCTGGCCCCTCTGTCCTCTTCCTGGTTTCCTTATCCGCCCTCCCCTGACTCTGTTTCTCCTCCGCCGAGGCACTGTGCGGTTATTTGTAAATATCGGGCGAGGAAAGTCTCGGAAGAAGAACTAACGCTGATAATACTTTATTAATATTTATAGTAATTATTATAATACTAATAACACAATCCAAGCGCATGACAAATCACATAATTTCTCATTGTCAATGAAGGATGCATCTTCCCACACTTCCCTGTGCTCCCCTCAGTAAGGAGGAGAAACCAAACAAGCTACCAAATATATCAAAGGCATTGACCACCGGAGCAAAGGGAGAGGAGGGGGCCTGGTAATGTATATAGCTGTCAAGTTAAGGTTTAGTTTCTTTCCTTCCCCTCTGCCCCCATAAGCTTTCACTTTTCCTTTAGCTCCCCTCCTCTCCCTTCCCCATTCCCACTCTCAGCCGGGCTCAGGCAATCGAATATTATAAAGAAAACGTCTACATTGAGCACCAGGACTACAAGAGGCCACAGAGAAAGTCTCAGAAAAGCGTTTATGAGAGGTACCCCTCTCCAGTCAGTCCTTTTCTTGGTTAACCATTACTTTTTCCAGAGCAGAGCACTTAATTTACTTTTTAAAAATGTCCCTCGCTGGCCGAGCATAAGTATGTTAACATCTTTAAATGACTTAAAAAAAAAAAAAAATCTAACGCTTTCACTCCCTGCCCCGCCCCCACCTGTACACTTTGGACTTGTGACATTTTCAGGATTTACAGAGAATCCGTGAGCTGTCCAGCCAAGTCTGGTGCTGAAAATCGCCTCACTGTACTGGTTACTTCCTCTGGTTGTGCAGGCGGAGGAGGGGCTGTTTTGGAAAGTGACTATTCTGGCTTTTGGTTGGTTTCTTTCTTCTTTTTATACAATCGGGTTAGTGTGCACTATTGGTTTTCTTCTTATTAAACATTGCATAAGTTACCTTTTTGTAAAAAAAAAAAAAGTATTAGGTGATGTGCAGTACTGAAATTGCAGTATCTAACCAACTAGAATGTTTCCGTTTTATTTTTAGAACAAGTGCACCTTTGTTATATATTTATTATATTGGTACCAAATACAGAAGAAAACTATAGTTCTGTACTACATCCTCCAAACTGTGTATTCTTGTTCTTAATTTCCAGCTGTTGATATAATGGTTACCACTGGATGGAGAAATTCAGTGGTGCAGACCTGGCTTCTCCTGTTTCCAGAAGTGTTCTTTTGTACCTTACTCTGTAGTAGACTGTTATAAAAAGATGATGCACATGTTTTCTTTTTTCTTTTGCGAATAACAGAAACAACCACCACGACAGAAACAAACAAATAATGGATGTGCAGGAATGCCATCTATTAAAACATGGTTAATATTTAAACAGTGCCTGTAGTTCTCCCTGCATGCAGTTACCACCTGGAGGCAGTGGTGTGTGTGCTTGCTTGTACTGTATGTGTTTGGGGATGAGACTGGTGGGGATGTTGGGCAATTTGGATGACAGGACATGCAAATTTCAAGAGAAGTTAAATCAAGTAATTACTTATAAGATAAAAATGTTTGCAGCTTGTTTAGTTAGAAATCTGTGCCTGCAGCAAAGAAAGGACTCTCTTTTTCTTTTTCAGTCTGGCTTAGCTAACTTCACTGAACATATGAAAAATACTGAGAAAATAAGAAAGTGAGAGGAGAAGAGAAAAAGTTTGTTCTCACTCCTAATGCCAGCAAGGCCACCTATGTGACAAACGGAGTTTGCCTATGGCTATTGACCACTTTGTTTCCTTTGGATGGATGATAGAAGGGGCCAGAAGCATTTTACAGTCTTAATTGTATACACTGGTATCTCTGTTTGGAAACCAAGTCTTTGACAGCTATTCAAATGTTTAGGAAATGTATTTATGAGAATGATCTACACAAAGCTCAACCAAAAGAGTCCTTACTATCCTGCAGGGTGTAAGGCAACAGGGCCCCTATGAGCATCCCTCTCCCAAGTAACTAGTTTTTCTAGGTTCTGTGTCTTGGTTCTGGGAATATGTGCTCTTATCTAAAGAAAACATTACCTCTGATGTTTTTAGTCATTTAGTAAATTGCCCAAGCGCAGTCTGCATCTTTTATAAAAATAATTTAATAAACTTATTTTTAATCACCCATTAAATATCCACCCAAATACTTTCCTGGAGCACAGAGGATCATCACTGAAACATGCCATGTTGTAATATTAGGAAGACCAAGTATAACCTTTGGGTACAACATGTTAAACAATGAACCAGATTCTCTCCAGTGCCTTAGTCACTTCTTAGTAATAAGTTAAAGAGTGCATTAACTCCCTCAGGCCACTAGGGAATTCTTTAGTGCATCAAAGGTCTACACTGTACATCAGAATGACTAAGGCACTGTGAAGAAGAAAGTCCATTAATTTTTGTAGCTTACTCTCATCCAGCGGTAGCTCTTTAATACCTTATTACAGAATGACTTTCGGACTTGAAATTTGAATAGAATCAGGGACCCAGAAGGGAGCTTCCTCATTTCCAGTGAGCTCCACTAAATGCATGGATATTACTTTTCCCCTTTATTTGGGGCACTTTTTACAGTGAATAATTTCCCATTTTATTAAAGCAATAAGATGTGTCGTGAGCAGTGCTGGATGATGATTCCATTTTCTTGGTGCTGAAGCTACTCATATGTTCTTGCCTTATGAATCATAGTGCATTCAAGGCATGCAATAATAATCCCCTTCCAAGGAGCAGCCTGTACACCCTGAGGGGTAATTAATGAAATTGCCCTATATTATTTTTCCCCAAAGGAATAGAGGGAGCAGAAGAAATAAAAGTATTATGCATATTGTTAAAAAGGATCATGATACTTCAAAACATGGGCACACATCTGTAATATGCTTTTATTGTGCACCTTTGAATGTATATGCCTTTCTCCATTAATTGACTATGGTTTAATATTTTTAATAGTGCTCTATGTAAAGATGATGCAGTTTGTGAGTCAAACTTAATGCTGAGTTTAATATATTCAGAACCCTAGATTCTGGTGGTATCACTTGAGGTTTTCTATGAGATAGAAAGAGAATTACACGAAATTCTAGTAAGCCAGCCCCCAAACCAAATTATTGCAATAAGCACATATCTAAGCAATTTGTACAGACCCTGTTTAAAGCACTGCTTCTTATAGAGCTCAATTGGCAGTCTCAGGAGTTTGGGATGCTACCAACAGGGCATTTTGGTTTTTATTTATATGAAACAAAAGGCAATCTGGAAATAGCTAAATTTATTTTAAGGATTTTATTCACTGATGTCCCGTCAAACTAATTGCTTCAAACTCCTATAGCTACCGTTCAATTTCTGCACTTGCTATTCAGTATTATAATAAGGTGGCATGCTTGATTCTTATTGTTTTTAAAAATGAGAAAATTGGAGAGAAAATACTATTATGTCAAATGTATGGGACTCTGAATCTAGAAGATGTAGAAGGATATAATCTTTAGACTTTATATACACCCATAGATATGTATTTATATACGCATACATTTTGTACAAATTTACAATGGACTTTTTGTATTCTCTTTTCTGTCATTACAAGAATGAGATGGAAACCAAATAGTTGTTCCATCCTCTTATCCAGAGAGGATACTAAGAAGTCAGGTGTATGCATGTACTTATTTCTCTGGGGTCAAATCTGAATGACTTTCTCTTTATTTAAGGAAAGGGGAGAGTCTTAGTTAGCTCTGAAAATTGGTAATTAGATAAGCTTCCTTTCCTAGGTTAGTGACTCAAATGTAGCAATGATAATAAAGTTATGACCATTTCAATATGGTCTAAATATCTAGATGGAAAACAAAAATATCCAGAAGAGGTTTAGGGCCATCTAGACCAGAAACCTAGATTGTGGTTCGATTTTTCATTTTCAACCTGTATGTTGTGTAGAGATACAACTTATATCTGCATAGCTAAAGGTAAAGTAAAAATATGACCATTATCTCTTTAGTTTGATAAGTAGCTTTTGGAAAATATGGATAAATTCGCTTTAAAAAAACTTCTTTGGCATCTGACTTTTCCACCATTTCTATCTGCAGCAATTGAATTAATTAGATAATGGTCAAAGTTTTATTTTTTCTATTGTGTAGACATATGCTTTAAGTGCTATTTTGTGGATGACAGTCGAGCAATTGCTAGCTGATATTATGTGGAAGTTATAGGTTAAATTAGAACCAGAAACTTTAATCTAACCTGACCAGGCTCCCCAGGCCCATTCCCATGTGAATCTGGACTTTGAATATGAATCTGAAAAGCCACTTATTTGGGCCATTCTTTTTTGGAACTAGTGATTGTAGCTCACAGATGTTTCAGTTCATATTAGAATAAATTGCCCTATCGATAGAAGAGTATTTAATCATTGCACTGAAAATAAATCTGATTCTGATTTGGTTATTTATTTACTTGGTAACATTTAAGAAACAGCTTATATGGCTTGACATTAATACTTGTTATTGTCACCAACCTAATAATACAGTTGATTCCATGTAGGAATGCTTAGCTGGGAATAAGAATTTAATTAAAGTTAAATGGAGACAATAACTTATCAAGTTGGTCCTGCCCAATCGAGGTAGGGATATTTCCCCGACACTTGTGATTATTTCGGGTTGTTTCTATAGAGAGATTAACAGCAACAACAGCAACAAACAGTGACAACAACGACAACGACAACAACAGAAAAACTGACTTTTGAACTTGAGAATATCCAACAGATAGAATAAAACAGATATTAGAATTCATGGAAAATTTGTTTTGCTTTTCTATCAATAAAAGAGTTTTCTTGTTAATTGGCCTTTTGGACACTATTTCCTTATTAATTTAATTTATAATACAACAGGATTGTAAACTTTCTCCATTCCATTACCCTCAGATGCTCCAAGAAATTATGGTGTTATTTTTTAAGCTATAACTTATTTGTTCTTCCTCATAAACCAACAGCATCTCAGAAATGAGATGTGTATAATTTTTAGAATAACCCAATAAACAGTCCAGTGTAATAATTTAGCAGCAACTTTAGGCAGTTGTTCAGGCTCTTGAGGTCATATGTCTAGGCTTTCAGATTTTCTTTCTCTGCCTGCACTTCTCTAAGATAATCAGGTGTCCCTAAGCATCTGCCTCACTTTTCTTTTCTGTCTTCTTTTTCTCAAAATTGCCTCAGACTGCAAGAAGCAATATTCTCTTAATGCCCTCTTTTCTATACCTAAGACTCCTTCTACTATAGATTCCTGCTTCTGCAATGAACTTAATCTCCTTCTTAACCAGTGTCAGCTTTATCATTAACTCTTAATGGCAGTTGGACAGAGTGTAGAAAACAGAAAGATAAACTTATTGATACAGGATCCGAAACTGAGATATATGTGAAACATAGTATGCCACCATAGTAAACCTTTGTATTCCTGCAAAAGACATGTACTCATGATTAAGGTCCTACTCTCCCTTTTTCCAAGAAGGTGAGAGCTTGATTATCCTGTATTATGTCCCTATTAACCTCTGCCCTATCCCTCAAAGTTTGGCTAGAAAATCTTGCTACTGATTGACTATTTCACCTTATATCACTATTTGGCCTCTGAGAAGGCACAGCCTCTTCCCAATACAGGTATTTTACTTCACTGTACCCCTCACCCTTCAGGAGCTGCTGATTGTGTATAGGAAATTCTTCCATTGAGCTTGGATAAACGTCTAGTGGACCTTGAATACTTGGGTGGGGATGGATAGCTGTCTCCATCTAAAGGCATTGGCAGATAAAGATTGGTGATACAATCCTATCTCTAGCCATGGTCCCCTTTACTCCCAGTAGGTATATATTCTCTAACCTCAGCTGTTTTGCTCAACAGAAGGATAAGTATTAGCTGGCTCTCTAATACCAGGACTGGCATGGATCCATTTCCCAACTCCTTGGATCTCCTTGAGTGGACTGACATTATGAAACATTAGCTGTGGAGTCTAGTCTCTTTTTCCAAAAGTACCATCTCCAAATATGTTCCAGGTTTGAATTGATGTTGATAATATTGAATTTCTTTCTCTGAAAAAAGTGGGTCTACTTGTAAAAAATTTACAGTACAAGAAGGGGCTCTAGTGATAACCTCTCTTAAGCCCTCTTTTCTACTTTATGCTGACTATCCTCTATCTGCATTTGCAAATTCTTACTATTCCTGGGTCATAGCCTTAACTCAGATTTTTTTTATGTTAGCCTGAGGTTTGTAATCACTCTATGGTACAAAAATTTTCTGCACACAGAACCTCTAAAATCCTAGGAAAGCCCCTGCTAGCCTCAATGCACCGAGGTGGCAAAAATACTCACCCTTCATGTACAGATTTGCAAAGCAAATGTGGCTACTCTAATTTTCCCACAATTCATCTCATCCTCCTCATAGGGAACCTATTTGCTGGCTAGTCCTTTTAAGAAAATTCTCAAATTCTCAAAATTTTCTCTTTCCTCTGCTCCTTTCCAAGGTGGTGTCTGGGTATAATTTATGTTAGCTCATGGCAGCAGAGGAGGAAGGTTCTTCAGACCTATGCAGTGTTAAAGGGGTCCTTGCTGGTTCAGCTGGAGGGTGGCCAGTCTGGTCTGCTTGCCAACCTGGTGACTGCTATGACATAGCATGTCCCATCTAGTGCCCACTGCTGTAGGCTAGGATCCTAGACATTTTCCCATTGTCTCAACATCTGAGTCTACAGTGGCTTTTCTGTTCCAACTTCAGGACTTTGCTGTTTTATTGTGTTTTAAGCATTGCTGGGCCCCCTTACCTGTGACAAATGGGAATTTCTGGGTTCCTTAATACATCCCATTCAGGTGACAGGAAACAAGAAGCCTTCTAGTAGCCTATCGCCATGGCCATCTTCCCATGGCTACTGCCTTCTTGTTGGAAAAAGGAAAGTACAGAAGCTCTCCCTTGTAAAGGTTCCCCCTAGTAGAGCCAGGGAGGTTTGCTTAAGCCCTTACTACCTGCAAAGTCCTCTGGCTTCCTGATCCTATTAGAATGCTTATCACTGGGGCCCACTCTATTGCAACTTTTTCCCAAGAATCATGGAATTTGAAGAACAAGAGCCTTAGAGTACATCTTCCACAATCAGTATTTGACTTCCCTCCACCCACCTCCAAATTAATCCAGGACTAGAAGGGATAGGCTTTTCTATATTGTGCTTTAAGGACATCCTCTAGTACACTGGTACAATCAGACAGGAAGAGGTAGATTGTGGGCTTTCTGCTTTCTAAATGCCATGATCTATACACTGACTACAACTTCATAGATAAATCTTAAAATGGAATATAGAGTGTGGAAGAGATAAATGAGGCTACATTGGGAAGTGCTTCAGAAATACTTTATTAGTGGCACTTGTTTACGCCTAGCTGATTATTTAAAGTTGCATGGCAGGACTTCAGCGAGGTCTAAAAGACACCATCTCCCCATCTACTTGCCAATGTATCAACCCTTTACTTAGTGCAAACTAAGTTAAGAGCTTAGTTCTAGTGGTTTATGTTGTTGGCAACTGTCAATCACTCTTGAGAGAGATGATAGATGTCAGTAGGATTTTGTGCTGTGGTATAGATCAGCCTTTTCTAGGAATCCTGTGATGGAAAAGAGAGGAGGAAGTGTAGGTCAGTAAGTTCCAAAGGGAGGGAAGAACAAAGAAAGGAGAGGCTGAAGACTCAAGTCTCTGGCTTTTCCTTGTGGCAAAAAACGTTCCCTTTTCCCCGTCACAATGTGTCCTGTTGGGAGATGCACAAAGGATAGTGATCATGCCCTATACCTGGGAATGTGGCCGGACTGTGGCAGGAGTATTTACAGAGTCTACCGTGGTTAGTCTTGGTTTTAGATTTTTAGGTACCTTCATTCCTTTGCTCCAGTAAAACTGTCCTATTACTGACAGTTGTCAATCAGCCTGCAGTCCCCACTGTCTGCCCACATTCTCATAGCTGATCCTGGCTTGACCACTGACTAGGTGTTATTAACACAGACAGACACACACACACACACACACACACACACACACACACACGCGTATATAATCTAGTTGATGAGCTTATCCCTTTGAACCTTTCACCTCTAACATTTGAGATTATTCATTGTAAGCCAACTATATGCCAGGTATCACTTTTGGTGCCAGAAATGCAGTAGGAAACAATATAGGCAAAATGTCCTTCCCTCATGGGAATTTATTCTAGTGGAGAGAGACAATAAACAAAAGACCTAAGTAGACTGGGTGCAGTGGCTCACACCTGTAATCCTAGCACTCTGGGAGGCTGAGGTGGGAGGATTGCTTGAGCTCAGGAATACAAGACCAGCCTGAGTAAGAAGGAGATCCCATCTCTACTAAAAGTAGAAAAAAATAGCCAGATGTGATGGTGTGCACCTGTAGCCCCAGCTACTTGAGAGGCTGGGGTGGGAGATCCCTTGAGCCCAAGAGTTTGAGGTTGCAGTGAGCTATGATGATGCCACTGCACTCTAGCCCCGGGTGACAAGAGTCAGACTCTGTCTTAAAAAACAAACAAACAACAACAAAAGAAAAAACACCTAAGAAAATGATGGAGAATACTATAGGGAGAAAAGTGCTATGAAGACAATAAAGCAGGTAAGGAAGAGTGTGCTAAAAAAGAGTGTTGGATTTTAAATAGGGTGGTCAGAGATGGGAAAATAAAATTTAAGCAAAGACTTGAAGAAGCCATGCAGATGTATTGGTTAATTGACTTAAAGACTGTCTGGCTACAAGAATTCTTTAAAGCCCATTTCATCCAGGCCTCTAATTTTATAAATGAGCAAATGGAGATATTGGTAGGAAGAAGGCAAAAAAACTTATGCTTACTGAACATCGTGTCAAGTAGAGAGGCGTGGTAAAATCTGCTGCTAACCTTGAGAACCTCCTAGTCTAATTAATCAATAAATTTTAATTAGATTCAAGTGTGATAATAAATATGTGCAAAAGTACTTTGGAGCACAAACCAATTACAAACATGTCTGTGTGGGTGGGTTAGGAAAGGTTTCCCAGATGAGAAAATTTTTAATTGGCTTTTGAAGGATGTGCAGGAGTTCATCAAAGGAAGGAAAAGCATTTCTTAAAGAAGGATAAATATAAACAAAAGCACAGATGTAAGAGAGTTGTGCATTTTTTGCACAACAAACTCAAAAGCACTGATATAAAAGTGTTGTGCATTTTTGCACAACAGAAGTTATGATGTTCATACTGAAAGTTTACATCAGTCTGAAAAATAGAAGTAAGCCAGATCATTAAGGGCTCTGCAAGGGTAGCTTTTAAAGATATGACTTTTCTGTTGTCAGTGGGGAGTTAGTAAGAAATTCTGAATATAGAGGTAAATTATACATTTGGATTTATTAAAGATTACTCTGGAAGGATCAGCTTATAGAACAGATGCAATGGCGATTGAGACACCAGATAAAAAGCAACTGCAATAATCCCATGGCAAATGATAAAGGTTTGAACCAATGGAGATGGGATGAAAAATAAAGGTATACTCAAGGTCATGTTAGGTGATGGAGTTGATGTGGTTGGTGATGAATAGCTGCCTGGTGTGATGGAAAGGAAACAGAAAAAGAGAGGAAAGGGCAGACAGTAGGTTTATGCTTTATATTTTGTGGATCAGGGAAACCCTGGTTGGGTACTGCTTAGCTGTCATAACTTGGTGACAAAGTTATGCATTAATAATAGGGAGTTCAAATGGAGATCCTGAGCTTTGCTGGCACAGCCTGTGATGGGTTGTCCCTAGGTCACGTTCAGAATGTGGTGAATCCCAGTTCTATGGAACAACCTGCAATTTGCCATGCAAGCTTCAAGAAATAGCGCTGCCACTATCATGTAATTCCTGACGACTACCACTCAGTCTGCCGTGTTGGAGGAGTGCTCCATATATCTGGAAGTGCGCGTGTGTTCTGACATTGACTTCTAGGCCATTTGTTGCAATTCTGAGGTATGTCTGCAGAAAATTGTTTTATTTTACAGGATCTGCTGTAAACCCCACTTGACTCTCTTGGAATAGAGAAGTCATCAGATAGGACACTATTGACAGTGATAAGAATCAACACACTGCCGAGAAGGAACCCATGGTGTTGGTGAATCTGTTTAAAAAACCAACACAGCCAGTCATGTAGGGAAATGGCCTGGGTTCAAATCTTGGCTGTGATACTTGGTAGCTGTGAGACCCATAGTAGTTCCTTAACGTCTCCATGCTTCAGTTTTATGAAGGTTTATTGTGTGGCTTAAATGAGAAAATATATTCAAAGGTCTAACAACAGTATGGTAGCTTCTGTTCTTGCTTCTTTTATGAGGCTTGGTTGGGGAAGGGAGGGAGTAGTTTTTTGGTAGATGACTAGTAGTAAACTCATGTTCTTTGTGCTCTAAGGTCACATTCCAGTCTCTAGAAAGGAACCTGGTGGATAATAGTTATTCAATAAGAATCTTGTTGAATGAATAAACAAAGGAATGGTTTGAAATTCATGCCTGATGAAGTACTTTGGTACTACTGAAAAAGTATGCTTTCCAGAATAACACCAGTACAGAAAACCAGAAAGCAACAGCATATATGTTAGTCACCATTTCACTTCACTTCTGGTTAGCAATAAGGAGTGGCATCATTGGGATCTTTGGCATTGTTCAACAAGCTATAACATCAAATAAATGTTTTAAGGATACAACACTCCTCCTGAATACCCTAACCCTACCCCCTGCTTGCCTGAATAGCTCAGCAAAGCTTGCTTTTAGGACCTGAGCCTTAATACTTCTCACAACTGGCACAGGAGCAGTGAGTCAACCATAGAAACCAAAGCCACTTGGACATTTGGTGAAAAAAGAAAGGATCCGGTCATCAGTTGGTCATCAAGTCTTGTGCACAGAGGGAGATGCTAATAAAGAAGGCAGGACCCCTTCTCTCAAAGAGCTTATGACTCAGTTAGGGAGGCAAGACTTTCAGAATGAAATAATACGAGGAAACCAAGTTGAAATGACAATTAGGAATAAAATTAAACCCAAGCTGCATGAAAACAAACGGATCCTTAATGAGGCAATCTTCTTCTACTCTCATATCCAGAAAGGGAACCACAGGATTGTGCCTACCTAGAGACAGAGAAATCTGAGTGTGAAAGCACCATTTGGAGTTGAGGCAAAGAATAACCAAAGTCGGCTCTGTCCCTTCTGACTGGAAAGCATGTCACTGTCCTTCAGTGGTTATGGGAATTACTGGCCCCTGGCAGAATTGCTATAACTTGTTGTTCCTCTTTTTAATCCTTCCACCTACCCCAGGGTGCTCATGTGCTCTGCAAACTGCTCAGTGTTCCCCTCTATGACCCACTCCCACTTGAAGCTCTGCCTCTCAAAGTTGCACTTTACAATTAGGTCCATTTTCTCTCTTTGAAAATTCAAAATGAAAGTGTGTCCCCGTCATAATAGCATCTGTGACCTACTTCTTATCTTCCCAGGACCATACTCTTTGCAGTATTGAGCATGTATATTTGGCATTACTCCCCAATAACAGCCTATAATGATTTAAGATAACATTCTCATTTTTTTTTTTCACAGAAGCCTACAACATTTCAGGTAGGGAGGGGACATTTCAGGGCAGAGCTTTGAGTACAAGAGTTGACCTTGGTACCCTTCTGATCCTATCAGTGGAGTAGCCGTCCACCTACTTGACTCTGCCCTCTGCAGGTGAGATCTAGGACAGGTTAAGACCCATAGAGTCCTCAAGTCCTGAAAAAGCTGTGTCTCCCCCTTCTATCCCCATCATGTGATTTAATAGAAAAATAATACAAAATTATAAAATAAGGGAGGAAATCCACTAATAAAGATCTGACTTTTCCCATGGCAACTATTTTAATGCCTTGTGAAAATAATAGTTACTATTTTTTCATGCTCAGTTGGCCTCATGAGAAAACCAGCTAGCATCAAACAGACCTCATGGAGTAACTTAGCAGCTTAGCGTCGCCTTGACAAGGGCCAATGGCCCCTATTATGACTCAGGGGCTGGCTGCTGAAAGTTTTATCAACCACTCCTCTAAACCTGCTGGGCTCAGGCCCAAAGGAAAGAGTGTCTTTGGTGACACTCGGCCCCTAGTGTACAAGGAAGAAACACTGGGACCAAAGGGTCTCTTTAGGCCTGTTGGACACTGATTTCTACTCTCATCTTTGGGTTTAGGGGTCACCTTGGCTATGTGGAGCGTAAGAGCATGCGCAGTCCCACAGCATCTGAGCAGCAGGCGCTTTGCCTCTTTGGATGCCAGAGCTTCCTCGGGAGCTAGTCCAGAGCTATCAGTCTTCTCTGACTCAGGCTGCCTCTGGGTCACACCCCCCATGGGTATTGAGTGGAGTCTGCCCAACCTTCATTGCCTTTACAGGAGGCCACCTGCACAAGACAAAAAAAAAAAAAAAAAGATTAAGGGCAAAATCTCCAGGAAGACCCTGTTTCAACCCAGCTGAATAACACTGACTTTCATTTTCCTTATTGGAAAGCATTAGCATCATTGAAAGAAAGGGACACTTCAGCACGTATGATGGACTCTCTTACCCAGATACAAGGTGGGTGCCTTTGTTTGCATCTGTTTTGAACTCAGCTAAGATACCTGAGTTAACACTCAGAGAAGAATTTCAGGGTTTATTATTCCTATTTTACAGATAAAGAACTGAGGCTCATGGAGATTAAGGGATTCCCCAGGGTCATCCAGCTAGTAAGTGACTTGGTCTGGATTTGAATGACGATTTGACTAACTCCAAATCTCCTGCTCTTTCTTCTCCATGCCACTAGACCAAAACGCCATTCCTGTGACTTTTTATTATCAATTTCAAATAAATTATTTCCATGAGACTGTCTAAGCACCCTTTGAAACTCACCTTAGGAACAAAGAAACAAAACAAAACAAAAAAACGTAGGTAGCCTTTTAGAGCACTTTGTCTCAAAATGCGTTCTCAAGGGCCCATTTATACCAGAATCTGAGGTGGCAGTGGAGAAAGGAGGGAAGATTGTCAAGCCTATTAACTCCGTTGGTTATCTGGGCCTGACCCAATATTGACTGGATTTAAATCTCTGGAGAGAGGTCCCGGGAATTTGTATCTTTAGTAAATTTCCCAAGTGATGCTGATGCAAACTAAAACCACTGTTCTACAGGGATATCTGATGAGGAAGGATGAGGATCATGGATAAAGTCTAATTTCTGTACATTTTATCAATGTTTGTGTGGGAAACAGCCTATTTTCAGGATCCTATTGCGTGCATGTGCTGACTAACTACTTATTGTACTTGTGGAACCGAGATGTTGTTTGTGTACTAACATGTATCAATGAAATTGAATGGAATGACCCAGCTTTTTGAGCCTCTTTTTTTTTTTTTGGTTGATATGAAGAAAACCAAAAAGCTCATGTCCCTCAGACCCGACTGTAAGATTCAATAGATCTGGCAAGGTCTCTAGTTCCAAAGACAAGTAATTAGAATTATGCAGATTGGATTGGCCCTGCAATGCAGAAGTAATAGCCCCTGAAACAAACCCAAAAGCCACAGCCACCCACCAAATTGCATAAAATGGAGCGGCGGCCCAGAGATAATACCCTGGTGTCCCAATGCAGTTAAATAAAACGCTACCAGTGTAGCCTAGCTGGCATCATAATCGATCTCCTGGACTGAAGAAGGTCATTTGCTATATCAGAAGCACTGTCAAAATTGTTCTTTCTCAAGGAACCAAATACGAAGGAAAAAGAAAAAAAAATCAAATATGGCCTAGGAAGGCGGGGCCGTAGCTACCATGTGTTTAAACCAGAGATTTGAACTTGCTCATTTAAAAAATGATATAAATAAAGCGATTGGAAATGTTTCGCTATCATTTATTTAATAAAATATAAGCTGCCTAAATTGTGCTAGGAGCACTAAATTTGTTATCTTTTCAGTCTTCACAAAACTCTGTGGAATGCGGATTGTCCTCACCCATGTTTTGCTGATGAGGAAACCGGCTTGGAGAAGGTGAGCTTCTTGCCTGTGGCCACATGGGGAATGGCAGGGCCCATCTGGCCCTGGAGGCCTGTGCCCAGCGCCACACTGTGTCCCTCTATCCGGCAGACACACTGTATTCCTGCATAGTACCCACTTTCCCATCTAGTTTCTTTGCTAACAGCAGGGCTATGACTGACTGCTCCAGAATGCTAATTTTTCTCTCTGTGGTTGGCTGCTTCTCTGAATGCTGTCACTGATCTCTCTTGCCACTATTTTGAAAATGGCCTATAGCAAGGGGTTCAAAATCCCTCCCAGCTCATTTACCCCACCCATTCTTATTTTCTGGTGGAGAAAGGACCCCCAAATGCAGACAAGGCATTTCTGAGTTGCATAGGGTATGGTTAAGAGCCTGGGTCTAGAGTTAGAGTCCCTGCTCCCAGGATGTACTGGCTGTGTGAAAGTGATTTGGGGCAGGTTACTTAACCTCTCCATTCCTCAATCTCCTAATTTGTAAGCTAGATATGAGGGTGAAAGGGTAATGAATATATACTTAGAACTCTGACTAGCACAAAGTAAATGCTCTATAGATGTTGTTGTATTTGTTGTTGTTAAAGTTTTGTAACTGGAGATTTTGACCCCAGCTATCTGTTAATTTGTAATAGTACCCAAACAATCCACACCAAGTGAAGCCAACAGTAACTGTTAGCGAAAAAATAAGGAAAGATCCAGTGGCTAAGAGTGTGTACTCTAAAACCTGACTATATGTCTTCAAATCTTGGCTTGACACCCACTAGCTGTGTGATTTTTGGGTGACTTGCTTCACTCTTCGTGCCTCAGTTATCCCATTTGAAAAATAGTGACAACAGGAATGCTATAAAGATTAAAAACAAGTTAATATTTCTAAGTGTTTACAAATTGCCTGTCACATCATAAGAACTGCCAAAATGTTGGTTGATAACTAACTTCAAATAACCCTTTCTTGAAATTGTGACTTTTTTAAACGATCTTTTCTTTATGTGTGGCCACTGTAGCTTTGCCAGGTGTTAAAGCCAGACTTGTTGGCAAATTCTGGTAATGGCTTAACCTCAATATGTAAACACCAAATTTTAATAACCCTTAGACTAAAGGCCTCAGAGGCTTACTCGGTCATACACAAAAATGAAAATTGATGCATCATGAGAACTGAAAAAAGGGCTTACATTTTTGGATCTGTTCTCTAACCATCAAGAAAACTTTTCAAAGGCCACAGGTTTTACTTTGAGGAACTCGGGCCTGTGTGAACTTCCCCTGACAGTGTCAAACCCCACTTCCCACCCTGGGAAACGTGCAGGGAGGGCAGCACCGTGTACAGCTGCCCACGGATGGATGCAAGCAAGGCACTGCCCATGGCAGCCCTGGAGAGAGCATCCCTTGGCAGTACTTGAAGCCAGTTAAATGCCCAGCGGAGCTGAGCACGTGGGTGAGCACGCCTCCAGGACACAAGAAGACATATCTGATGGTGCCAAGAGCTTAGACTTTGGAGCCCACCAGGCTTGTATGAAGCTCCTGCTTCATCACTCACCGGCCATGGGACCTGGAACAATTTACTCAGACCCTCTGAGCCTTTATTTTCTCGACCTTAAAATGGGGATAATGATGCTTACTTACAAAATTACTTTGATATTTTAGTAAAAAAACGTATACAATGCATCTAACACAGAAACTGAGACTTAGATTGTGCTTCCCCCATCAACAACAATAGCTACCATTTATTGTGCATTTGCTAAGGACGCAGGCATTATGTTAGGTGCTTAGGATGTATTATTTCCTTTTCTCTCCACAAGGTCCTATGAGATAGGTTTTATTAACCTTTTTATCTATAGATGGGGAAACTTAGGCTTAGCAAAGTTAAAAACACTTGCCTAAAGTCACATGGCTAGCACCTGGGGCAGGTGTGGTTTGACCCTGGGTTTGTCTGAGTCTGAACTTGTGCACTTTCCCACTCCTTCGATGCTACCTTCCCTTCTCCATCTCCACCTCTATTTTGCTCCAATTCCTTTAGCCCATCGAAGCCAACCATATGGCATTAGAGAACACTCACTCTTAAAGTAAATATATAGATTGCAATATTCGTTATCCAAAAATGTAGCCCATGCTACTTGTTTATCCTCAGGACTTTAATAAAGGCCAAGGCTCTGATAGTAAACAGATCAGAGCCAGGCAGTAAACCTGACTGACCTTGTTTGATGCAGTTTATCTTCCAAAGGATGATGCATTTGGGGGCCTGACCTTCAGCTCTTCCTATCTTACAGTCCTGAAATAACCTGCTCCAGAAAAAGCAGGCTGAGTTTTACTGTCGCGCAACCAGTTTGGAGGAATTATTAATACATTGGCTTAATTTGGGGCATCTCATTAAAATTCCAGCACAAGATCATCAAGTTTTCATTTATTTTCCCTCTGAATGAGGTCCCCAAACACCTTCTGATATCTTATTGGCCATGTTAACACCTCCTTGATTTCTAATGGTTCCTTCTTCTATTAGTAAATGTAAGGCAGGCTAATGGGCCTCCAAGTTTGGAACATAATGCCATTCAGTGAAGCACCGGTTTTACAGTTTTACAGGAGTGGCTCATTTGAGCAAGGAATCCTCCTAAGTCCTAAGTCATAAACCTCACCTACCCTAGCTTCGGAGTGGGTCGAGCAAATAAAATGTCAGCAAAATACCCCATAGTATTGACAAAGTTCCCTAGTAGGATTCAGGATGCAAGACATTTCCCTTAGACTTGAAACCAGAATGAAGTTGGCATGCACAGGACACATACTTACACATACATGTGAGATTTTTGCGCTTTGGGTCAGGAATACCTTTATGCAGAAAAGAGACTATTGTCTTCTAAAGGGATTGGGTATTTATCCTCCCACTCTGGAGGTAGGTAAATATTACTGACATTTTACAGAGAGAGTCTTAGGAATGGTAGATATGCTACTAAATATGGATCACCACTTACTGTCCTAATAGTCTACCACCTCTGGCCCCAGTGAATGGGTCCAATATACCAATACGAGCTGGGTATGTGTATCTCAGTAGCCAGCAGCAATCCACTGTAATTGCTTCAAGCTGACTCTGACTGACTTGCTCTGCTCTTTCTCACTTCTCCCACTCTTGTGCTCACAACGAGCTCTGTGTTGGCTGCATACTACGGCCCCTGCTCTCCCTTCTAACATTTGGCTCCATGACCCAGTTTTAGTTTTGTTATTTATGGCAGATGCTGTCAGTTCCTTTCCATATCCCTTTGATATTCATATTCCCTTACATGTGGATGCTTCTAACTGGAAGCACTGCAGCTCTCTGCCCAAGTGCTTTCTCAGGCTGCAGGAGCAAGCTGAGCCTTCTCCCACAGTAGGCAGAGCCCTAGGGAGGTAACCCCTCTTTGAAGAAACCAACC